AGGCCTGCGCGGCGCAGCTGGCCCAGCAGCCCTCCCTGCACTACGCCAAACCCTCGCCGTTTTTCATGGACCCCATCTACAGGTACTCACATGCCCTGCCTCACCTGCTCTCCCAGAGGGGCGCCGCCCAGCTGGGCATCTGGGGGGTCTGCGTGCCAGGCGCGGCCCTCACGTCTTCCCCCAAGGCTCGTTCCTCCGCCTTTGCTGGCTTCGGGGGCTGCCTGAGCTCGGGGTCTGTGCCGGAGCCCACAGCTGCCTGGGCCCGTGCCTGAGATGGGTGCCCGGCCAGGGCGTGTTTGGGAGGCCAGGGCAGGGTCCCCTGGACCCTTGCGGTTCCCTTTTGCGACAGCCACTGGAACGGCCGCTGTGCTTCCTGAGCTCCTCCGAGCCTCCCCTCCGACCCCACCCTGGGACCCCTGCTGTCTCCAGCTGTCCTCTCTGGAACAGCTCTGCCTCCCACACAACTCAGACCCGCACTCTTTCCTCCGCTCCGAGTCCCTGCTTCCCGTAGGCTGCTGTGCAGAGCCAAGGCTGGGGGTTCCTGGTGGCCCGGGGAAGTCAGAGAGGAGCCCCTGCCCCCAGAGGGGAGGAGGTGGGGGAAGGAAGGAGGAAGCGTTGGAGGGTTTGCAAAAAATCAGTGTCCCTGCCAGCCCTGCCAGTGAGGGGCCGACTTAATCCTGTCCCGTTTCTGGGCAAGCTTTGGTCAGGGGGGTTAGATGTGACCCCAACACGTCTATCTGGGGGAGCTGGGCAGCTGTGCCCTGAGGTGTGGGCAGCAGGCACCGGCAGTGGGAGCTGGTGCAGGCCCTGTGAGAGAGGCCCGTGTGCACACGCGTGTGCGTGCATGCGCTGGTGTTCGGGGACCCTGAGGTCCTGTGTGCAAATGCATGTGCGTGCACACACTGGTCTTCAGGGAGCAAGGGCGTGTGTGGTGCCCGGAGGGCCCAGGTGCCTGCTGTTTGCACCCGAGGGGCCAGCAGGGCCTGGGACTGGCGTTCGGGTGAGGTCACGCCTGCCGAAGGACACGTGGGAGAAGTGAGGTCAGAGTCAGGTAGAGGTGCCCGTGAGGGGACGGTGGGCGTCTCCCGCTCTGCCCTCCTGCACGCCCAGTGGGTCCCCCCTTCCTCAGCCTGGTGGGGCCACCATGTGACCCAAATCAGGAAAGGGCAGAAGAGATGGACACAAACCTTCCCCCCTCCCCCCATGTGGTCCCCATCCTCTCAGCCCACGCCACCAACCGCACAGTGTCCCCTTGGAAGGCGGAACCGGACACAGCCCAGCCCCGAGGCCTCGGTCACGCCTCCGAGCTGGTCTCCACCCCTCTCGGCAGCTCCCACAGGTTTATTTTATGCCTCCGGGTGGGGAACCTGCCCAAAGCACGTCCTGCAGCTCCCGGTCCGCCTCCTGGACCGGGCTGGGGTCTCGGGGGGGGGGGTACCTGCGAGGGGCTCCTGCCCCTGAGCCCCTCGGGTGGCTCTGCAGTCCTCCTGCACTCGGGTCCTCTCCTGTGCTGTCCCCTGTCCTGCTGCAGTCAGTGTCCCCGCTCGTTCCTGGGAAGACATGGTCACAAGTAAAAGTGACGTGAGCGTGGCCCTCGCAGGAAGCACTGGTCCGGGGTTTGTCCAGAGGGCTGTGCCTGTGTGTGGAGAGGTTTCCCAGAGTTGAGATTAAATCTCAGCCCCACAGGGGAGACTGAGGCAGGCGCGCTGTTGGGAAGAGGTGGGAGAGGACCTCGGGTGAGGGGGGGCGCTGGAAGCCACCCTGTCCACCTCCCCCACGTGTCCTGTGATTATCCAGATTGTCCCCGGCGTTTGGCCACAAGTTTCCAGCCTACCTGGCTGTGTGAGGAGGCCCTGGTGGCTTCCCCAGGATGAAGCCCACTGGTCACTCACGGGTCAGGCAGCACGCCCCACGCCAAGGGCCGGCAGGGACAGGGAAGCTAGGGGTCAGCGTCAGCCTCCCGTGGGCTCCACCTTCTCTGTGACAAGCCCAGGGGCCCAGACAGGGCTGACCCCAGGCGGGTGGGTGCAGGGGGAGCTTCAGAGAAGGTCCCAGGCTCCAGACTCAGCGTCTGCACGTGCGCGGAAGCCCCAGCTGGGGTGGGTGGAGGGACCCTGGGAGGTCGGAGGGCCCGGAGCTGGGCGTGGTGATGGGGAGCGAGTGGGGGCAGGGAACGGGGGCCCAGTGGGCAGCGGGCGGCGGGCCAGGAGGCTCAGCAGGCAGGGGTTGGCCAGGTCACGGACGTCCCCACATGTCGGGTGAGACTGGGTAACCTGGGGCCAGGGAAGCAGAGCGGCCGTGACCAGGGCCCCACACAGACCGAGGACACAGGCAGGAGTCGGCGGGGCCCCTGGGGGGTGTACGTAACCCTCTGTTTGCTGTCCAGCAGGGTGGAGAAGCGGAAGGTGCCCGACCCCGTGGGAGTCCTAAAGGAGAAGTTCCTGCGGCCGCCCCCGCTGCTCTTCCACCCTCAGGTGAGACCCAGGCTCCGGGCGGGCTCCGGGCTGGTTTGGAGCTTCGAGGCCACTCGAGGCCGAGCCACACCTGCGGCGGCCTGGGCTTCCCCACCTGCCCAGGGCTCTCCCTGCAGGTTCCACGCGTCACCGTGAGGCTGGCTTGGGTGGGAAGGGCCAGGACAGCAAGGAAGGAGGCTGGTGCCTGTTGGGGGCAGCCCCATGGGTCCCTCAGAAGTGGCCAAGGACCCCGGCCCAAAGGGAGCCCACCCAGCCGAGACTGGGCGGTGGGAGGTGGGATGAACTTCAGTGGGTGGTGGGCAGAGCTCAGAGGGGGTGAATCTAAGAAACTTGAGTGAAAAATACAGACGCAGCAGGCCATGGGGACATAAGCAGGCCATGGGAACATAAGCAGGCCTTTCCGGGGGCTTCCATGGAGAGGCCAGGAATGGGCGGCCTGTGTGTAGACCCCTCTGAGACGCCACGTGCTGGTGGGTGGCCCCCAGGGTGCAAAGCAGGCTGGAGGAGTCAGGAGCAGGAGACATGCAGAAGGTCCCGGGGCGTGGGGGCAGGAGGAGAGCCCCCCCAGGGGCTGGAGAGGGTGGAGGCTACCCACCAGACTGGAGTTTGGGTCTGGGAAAGAGACACCCAAGTCCGGGCAGCGACCGCAGACCCTGCCAGGCCTGCAGGCACTCAGTCTGCCCCTTGGGCCTTGGCCTCCCAAAGGGTGGACACAGAGAGCTGGTGAGCTGGCTGAGCAGCAGGGCTGGGCAGAGTCTCCCGACTCCTTGCCCATGTGCCCCGTAGAGCCACAGCCCCCCACCCCCGGCCCGGAGGGTCCTGGGCTGAACCCAGACTCTGGGGCATCATCTGCTTTCTCAGAGCCCCCACCTTGGACAAACACCCCAGGTTGTGAAACCTGCGCCCTGCCCGGGTTCACAGCTAAACTTAGAGTCCCCATTGTTTGCTGGGCCGAGGAGTTTGGTTAATAACTTCCCGCGATTTTCTCTGGGACGGGCTGGGAAAAGCCGACAAGCCAGCAGGCGCATCCTGTGTTTGTTTGTGGGGGAGCTGGGCAGGGATATCTGATCGGGCTGGGCAGGCGGGACCTGCTGCAGCCCCCCAGAGACCCATCCTGGCCCGAGGAAGAGGGGCCGGGGGGGCTCGTCCCTCCTGTCAGCTGGGCCCTGCCGCCCCCCTGCCAGTCTATGGGCCCAGAGCTGGGTGGGTGGAGTGATGGGAGATGACCAGTAAGTCACCTATCAAATGGTCTGAGCTGCTATCTGGGTGATGTTAGCCTGTGCTGGGCAGATCCAGGCAGGACGTGGCCAGGGCCTTCCGTTTTTGAGGCCCGATGTGCAGGTGGGCAGCCCCCAGAGTACAGGGAGAGGAAGTCCTGCCAGGCCGTGGTCCCTCACCACCTCTGGGGGGTCCTGGGGTACCTGGGTGGTGGAGGGCTCCAGAGCCTCTCAAGACTATGGCTATGCCTGAGCCCCGCAGGCAGGTGGGCAGCTGTCTGTGTCCCAGGGGTCCTATTGTCCATGGAGGGCCCAGTGAGGGGGCAGCTCCCATCTGTCCATCAGGGGCCAGGGGAGGGCAGAGCCCAGAGCAGGGCGTCCCTGCCCCACAGGAATGGGGAAGCCCAAAGTCCTGCCACCTGGGCGCAGCTGGCGTGGGGGCAAGGTGGCAGCCCAGGGTCACAGGTGGCCTGGGCCATTAAGGGGAGACACCGTTTTCTATTCATTAACCTCTTCCTGGGTGTTTTATTGTAACAAGTCAGTGGTTCCCCAACTAACACCCAAGGGGCTCTGGCGTGATGAATGCCCTTCCTGTTCAGGCCCCACCCAGCCTCCCACAGGGCCTGGCTCGCGGCAGGTGGTCTCGGGACAGCCCCTCCATCTAGGGGAGGTGCTGCGAGGTCTGTGCCGCTCCATCAGCACCACCTCCTGTCCCCAAGCCCTCAGGACTCAGGACAGGCACAGTCTGGTCATAACTCAGCCCACCACGTGGGAAGGACCAATGCCCGCCCCCTTCTCCTCCCTGAGCTGGCCCTTGGCATCCCCAAGGAGCAGAGAGGCAGCTCCCTTTGTCTGTATCGTCGCGTCCTGTGCCGTGTGACGCTGGCACTGTGGCCTTGGCCGCGTAGCTGGTGGGGTCTGGTCCCAGGCTGCTGAATGCCTGTTGGTGCTTTGCCTGCAATTATGGCCTGTTGCCACTAGGGGGTGGCGGTGGTGCCTCAGGCCGTGATCCCTGTTAAACCCTGAGATTCGGGTAACTTCTTAATTTTTCAGGACTCGGAAAAAAATCGATATAATTATGTCTTTAACCCAATCTGGACATTCAGGGGTGCTGGCCCAGGGCCGCACCGGTGGGCGTTGCTGGCTTGTTTCTGCATAGCTGATGCGTAATCGCACGTGTCCACAGCCTGCCTCGCTGTGTCCCCGACACCAGGCAGAAGGGCTGGCTGCTGTGGTCAGATCCGGGCCCCACAGCCTGGGCCCGAGACTGAAACGGGGGTCCCGGGGAAGGACGGGAACGGGGCTGGCCGCAGCCGGTGGAAGAGTCCAGCCCAGGGGCCGAGAAGACGCCAGGATGTCTGGCTCCGAGGCCCGCCCGAGGGCCCGCGTGGCCTTCTTGTCCTGGCCTGGCCCACCCGTGTGCTCTGTCGCTGAGGACCCCACGGGACTGGTCCCCAGCCTCTCCCGTTCTCGTGCCGACAGATGTCAGCCATTGAGACCATGACGGAGAAGCTGGAGAGCTTCGCGGCCATGAAGGCGGACTCCGGCGGCTCCCTGCAGCCCCTCCCCCACCACCCCTTCAACTTCCGGTCCCCGCCCCCGACGCTCTCAGACCCCATCCTCAGGAAGGGCAAGGAGCGGTACACGT